AAACAGCATACTTCCTGAAGTATACTTTTATCCTTGATCAAGAAAATACACCCAGTAAAAAGAAGAAAGAAGATAATGACAGCTTTGGTCTTGTTGCTTACTAAAAGTATCCCCAAATCCTAGGAAATATCCAATTCAGATGATAAAGTACCCACCTTTCTTCTCTCCAGTTCTTTGTCCTAGTGTATCTCTGTTTACTTCACTGGCCATAGCTTCCATTATATTATCAGAGAAAAATAGGCTAATAAAATATGTAATAGCTAGTAGTGAGCACATATTTAAGCAAAGTTATTAATCAGAAGAGTTTTATATCAACCCAGCACAGCACAGAGTTCTGTGTAAAACACACTATCCTACTATTCAAAGCTTGAGCAGCTATGGCAGAAAGAGATGGTCAATCAAAAACAATGACATTCTGCCCTCGATGGATGGCTCAGTTGGTTGGAGCATCATCTTGTACAGAAACCAAAAGGTTTCCGTTTCATCTGGGTCAGGGCACATACCTAGGTTGCTGGTTCCATCCCCTGTTGGGGCGCATAGGGTAGGAAACCAATGGTTGCTTCTGTCTCTCTCAAATCAGTATCTTTAGGGAAGATTTCAAAAGCAATTTAAAAAATGACACTCTGATGTCAGTTTTCTGGCAGAATATACCAAGAGGTCAAAGAAAAAGGGGGGTCAAAACACCCTAAGAAGAAAGCAAACAGAAAAATCTCTCCCTCCTTAAAAATCTCAACCAAACGTACTTAATGACTACTCGACATTTTGTTCTCTTTACATTTCCTAATGTCAGTTTACTTATCGCAGTAAACTGGCTTTAAGTGGCATTACTTTTCACTAGTACAGAAGAACTGAAGGGAAAGGGATCAGCCCATAAACAGTGTACACTGTACACACACACACACAAAAAAAAACAAACAAAAACCTTCAACAAAATCCCTACTTTTGGGAGTCATCAGATTACAGCACAATTTACTGGTAGGGCCCTGCTGGGTAGAACAAAGCCACCAGAATCAACCCTGGTCCTCTGATGTTTCCCTTAGTAGTTCAGAAAAAAGAGAAAGGAAAAAAATCTCATATTTACCTCCAAATCATCATGCTTATGATAAAATCATGTATGTAAAGGATGATAATTTCAAAAATGTTATGGTCTGAAGCAAAAGAAGTTATCGGTTCATATGTTCTAAGGTTTCAAGTACTTTTTCTTAGGGAGTCACATGCGATTTTATCACACAGTTCTTATTTCAGGGGAGCAGTGTACACCTTCACATTCTAACTTTACTTTCTAACTCCTCTACTAACTTCAAATCAAGTCTTTAAAACAGAAATACTTTACTGCCTTTATTGTAGTAAAAAGGGGACTCAGTGGCTGAATTTCAAGTCCTTGACGGACTAGTCAAACTACAAACAGAGAAACAGGCTCTCTCAACATTAGCATAACAGATGGTCGCGCTGTCAACAGCATTTATCAGGGCTGATTTTATTTTTTAAGTGGTGCTGCCACTGTCCTAATAATGAGGATTAGGGGAGAACAGGGAGGAAGAGAAGGAATAAATTTCCTTTACCCACCAAACAGCTGAAACTAGATGGTAAACTACATCATTTTTTAATTAACGACCAGTAAGTATTCAAAGTGATGAAAAGCAAGGACCTCCATCCAAGATTACTCTACACAGTAAAGCCATCATTTAGAATTGAAGGGCATATAAAGGGCTTCTCAGACAAGGTAAAGCTAAAGGAGTCCATCATCACCAAGCCCTTATTACTACGATATATACAATGTTAAAGGGACTTATTTAAGAAAAAGATCAAAACTAAGAACCGTAAAATGACAAACTCGCAGCCATAAACAACTGAATCTAAAAAAACAAAAACAAACTAAGCAAACAACTAGAACAGGAATAGAATCACAGAAATGGAAATCACTCTGAGGGTTATTAGCAGGGATGGGGGAGGTGGGAGGGGGAGAATGGGGGGAAAGGTACAGGGATTTAGAAGCATAATTGGTAGGTACAAAATAGATGGGGAGGTTAAGAATAGTATGGGTAATGGAGAAGCCAAAGAACTTATATGTGTGACCCATGGACATGAACTATGGGGGGTAACTGCTGAAGGAAGGGGGATACCAGGTGGAAGGGGGCAAAGGGGAAAAAATTGGGACAGCTGTTAATAGCATACATAATCAATAAAATATACTTAAAAAATATGATGATGGCTGCTGTAAGCTGACATTCATTTAAAACTGCTTCACCCAAATTCCAAACATGGTCAATTACTCCAATGGGAAAAGGTGTCAAACATCGCTAGGGTACAGTTTGTTCTGCCCTTGGTATTTCACTTGTCAGCACCATAAAAGACCAGCTCTGGCTTAATGGCAAAATATTCTAAACAGTGGACAACTGTTCTAAATATCTTGTCCCTCCTAACTTGAATGCCAAAAGATTTTGAGCCTCCAAAAGTTATGGGTGGCTTATTTAAAAGATCAATCAATTTACCCTAAATCCTGACATTTCTTATTCTGTATTTGTTTTCAAGCCAGAGAATCTTGCTTTTAGTTTTAAGATTTGGAGTTTCACCAAAATTTAAGTGAGTTCAGCAAAATATCTAAGAATAAATTGGTTTTAGGATGGTTAAAACACAACACACACACTCCTACTTTGAATTTCTACAAAGCTAGCTTTCTAGCTTTTCTTGATTTAGGAAATCATAAACCATCGCTTACTCCTGTCAATGTCCTATTTCTCCAGGTACCATCCAGACAGAACACCAGTCTCCCTAATCATCAACAAAAATTCTTAATAGCTCCCTTTGCATCAGAATCAAACATCCTATACTCTTCAAAAACATATCCTTAAAGTGAAATATTCTACTAAATTAAATTTACTAAACCCAAAGCTAAGTGAACATGCAAATACACAAAATGTCAACATTGTGTATTTGCACAGAATAATCCCATATTTTCAGGAATACTTATGAACAGAATTTTTCTTACTTTCTTAATCCAACTGTTTCAGTATTTGCCAAAGAAGCAGAAAAGGTAGGTGTAAGAAACAAAGGTTCTATTAGGAAAAGAATCTAAAGTTACTTATTTTGGGTATTTCTACACTTTGATTTCAGATACTAGATTAACATACCAGAGTCAAGGTGCTGTCAAGTCCACTGAAACACAATGTGTGACTCTGGTAAAAACACAGTAGGAAAAACATTTATACGATCTGACTTACTAACTGCTAGCCCTAGGATCTGGCAGAAAACTTAAAAAACTCAAAAATATCAAATAGTGACATCTTAAAAAGATGGGACTCAAGTAGTTGTAGAGATTGGAAGAAGAGGAAGATGTACCAGTGGTGACAAAGAAATACTTCCTTTTACTCCTAAATTTGTCCACCTGGCCAATACTTCCATGAGCTGGGGGCTGAGTCAAAATCTGGGATATAAACACATGGCTTTTAAGATTAACCTTGTTAAAAAAAACAACAAAAAACCCTACTTCTAATAGAAAAAATACCTGACTTGATAATTGAGAAGTTTAAGGACTACACATGACCATTCTTCTTTCTTGCATTGGAGGAGAGTGGAAAGGGGCTTTAAATTATGGACCTATTATAGTACACACACACACACACACACACACACAACTATCATTTTTACTTTATCCTTTTTCACACTTACATGCAACATGACTTGTTTTGGCTCTCTAATGCTTTCACAGGAAAAGCAAAAATCACCTCTCAAGAAACTAAAAATAGATTTACATAAATAAAGCTGCAGCTTATGAAGAAAATATCTGTGACCAGTATCAGCTCTGAGCTGCAATATGAAAAAGGTGGAACTCTCTATTTAGCCAATTCAAAATGGCAAGGATTCAAACCTAGGCCTCAGAGACATGTCAATATCCCAAGTTACGCATTCAACATCTGGTAGCTCCTCCTTTCTCAGTGTCCCGGCAACAGTCACTGTGGAACACCAGACATTTCTGATGGAAGCTCTAAAAAACAGTTTCTGACTCAAACTCCCCCCACATCCCAACACCACACAGCTCCCACATCCCAACACCACACAGCTCCCCTCCTACACACAATCTGTTGCTTCTCTTGTAGACTCCTCACCCTCCCTCAATCTTCAATAGTCCCTGGCTCCATTCTCCAAGTGCCAATTTCCTGATAGGCCCCAGCATTCTCCCAGTCTAATTCCTATTATGCAATATTCCCCCACAGCACTCAGAGCCACCCTGCCAACTCCATCCTCCTCAGGCCTAATTCCCAGCATCACCCCTGACGGCCTCTACTGCACCTCAAGCAACACTACATCATTCCACCTTCTCCACCTATTTTTAATCCTAATTTCCACATTCCTCAGGCTCCCTTCAACACTGTCCATTCCTTCCCAAGGCTGGTAAGCGTAGATATAGAAGTTACCCAACAAGTATGTTTGATAAAATATGTATCGGCAAGCACGCACGTGGGGGAGGGGGAGGCCGGGGGCACCAAGTGAGAAAGAATAACACATTAGGGGCAGTCTCCGAGAAAAGAGACATCTCCATTAATTCCCACCCCCAATAAAATTCACAATTCCCTAAACTCCCCAGCAATCAAAATCATCCCATTAAGTCCCACGGCTTCTCTTTCACATTTTCAATTTACCTCACAATCTTCTTGGATTCTACCTGCCTCTCATAATAAGTAATTTCCTCTCTACTTATAAGGCCTCCTTTCCTTTCCTTCCTTTGATGCCCGCCCCCTTCCTGACCCTACTTCTTAGTCCTCAACTCGGTCTCCTCCAAGACAGCCAAGGTTTTTGACAGCTTCCTTTTTCTCAATCAAATCCATCTCTTCCTCAGACTGCCCTGCCCGCTCAGAAAGCCCTGCTACTTAGAAGCTCAGCCCTCTGTTCTTACCGGCAACTCTCAGGACATACCCAGCTATAGGTAACCTTCCAAGTCTCGCTCTTGCTCCCACCGCACAGCCGTTACCAACCCCCTTTCCACGCCCCGCCCTGATTACCTGAGGACGAGGTGCAGGCAGGAACCCCGGGATCCAAGGATGAAAACCCCACCGCCGACGTCCCAGAGGCAGACGCCATCTTGGCAGCCCCCTCCCCCTCAGCGGCCTCACTCCCTTTCAATGGAGCTCTTCCCCTTCTCGGAGTCGAATCTTCCCCACGTCTCTTCCCAGAAACCGCGTTCTGACCGTCACCTTCCCGCCCCCTCCGGGGCCTCTCTCAGACAAGTCGGGCAGGCTCTCGGACCAGCTCAGGGCCGCACCATTTGGCTGGCATGGGGACAATCCACGTCTCGCACCCTCTCCGCAACTTTAACCGCTTTTTGTGGGAGCTATTTATCCCTTTAACAAGGGGGTAGGCTCAAGCCGGCTGCCGAGAACCCCTGTCCCGACCTAACCACACCTAAAGGAATGAGGGGGCGTGAGAAGTCCCGACAGAGCTAAAGCCCCCTCCCCCGCCTCCTAGCCACAGCCTGTTTATCGCCCAACTCCACAGCTCCACTCCTGGTGGCTAGCGAAGTCCAGACACTACGCATGCGCGCAATCTAGCGTTCCAACCCACACAATGCGGGGAGAAGGTCTGAGAAGAGCAAAGCCAATCCAGGGGCTAGTAATGGTCACATGACGCAAGTGCCTCAAGGCCAAACGAATCCAGGGTTGAATACTTAAGCGCCCAGAACTGCTGACAATCCCTACGGTGGCTCGGTGGGTCAATTTAACTCGTTCTTTGAAAGAACGGGGTTGCGTTGCCTGAGCTCAATATGATTGGCTCCGCGGTCCCTCTCAATTTTACATCCAGGAGAAGAGCTCCCGACAGACGCTCTAGTGTCAAGTTAGGGACTTGAAACACTCTAATATAATAAACCATAATAAACCATCACATGCCACCAAGTATACTTCCGGCTCCACTGCCTCGTTTACTATTTAGTTTTAACGCGCCTGCATGTCTTGCCTTCCTCTGACATTCAAAACAGATCTACACTTTGTTTGCCTCAAGCGCAATGCTGGGCACAGTGATCAAGTTCAGAAAATATTTGATGAATGGATGAAGACATGTTAAAAGAGACAAGGAGAGTGTTCAGACCATATCACAACATTCACACGATCCAAGCCCTTAAGTCTCTGTTGTCTGTGCTCCAAAGGGCATGGAGACACACATGACACTCTCCTTTAAAGTCTAGTCTTCGTACTAACCCTGCTCTTAACAAAGTACCCTGAAGGTTGTGAACTCTGTAGGGATCTGAAGATCTGTCTTTCTCTAAAGAGACTGAACTGCTGGAGAGCAACCACTGTATTCAGTTCACTCTTTCATCTTCAGCTACTTCTGTGATGTGACTTTGTACATGGTAGAGCCTCAGTAATTATTTGTGGAATGAATAAACGAAGAAGAATGGGAAAAAAATCCTAAGTTTGGTAGCCCCCAAGATGGCCTGGTTACCCTCTATCCAGACTCTTTCTGGGTCTTCAAAAAGGAACCTAGGACCTGACTCCAGAGAATATCCGAAGGCACTGACCACTCACTGCCTTCTATCCCTCTCATTAAGGTCTAAAATAATTGTTTCCCTGCTGCCACCTGCTGGATTATTTATTTATCTTCATTTGGATATTGAAGGCTAGACAAACTTGCATTTCTAATTCCACAGCAATGGAATTGTGTAGCACTGAAGTATTTTATGATTGCCTCTACCTACACCCCCCACCACTGAAATAAACAATACAAAAGCTAGACAGGTGGGGACACACTGTCAAGCAGAGGATTTGACATAGATATTGAACAAATATTTGTCAAATAAATTATTCTTGTTTCCATAAAAGACATGGAGTTGCTACCATTTCTTGAGTTATTTTAGAACTCACTGAAGAGGTAAAGCTGTTTCTGACTTTAAAACTGGAAATCGATCAATCGTTGATTCACTATGGCAGTATGTCAAATAGGGAGTTTTCTCCCTGGGATTTGATCTATGAATTTGATTTCAGTTGTCGCAAAAGAAGAAATCCCTATTTTGCAGCTTCTTATGGGTCTTTGTTTCTCTTTGGGGGACCAATAACAGAATGGCTACTGTTATTCTACTATCTTGTGCTATGTCAATCTGTTCACTTGTTTGTTTTCCTCATAAGACTGAATATTTCAGGGCAAAGATTACATCTTATCCATATTTATATCTCCAGGAATTGGAATAGTGCCTCACACAGAGTAGGTGCTCAGTACATGTCTCCTGAATATATGAATGGATGAAGGCAAAATTCAAAAAGGTGGGCTAGTGGTGTCTCCCATCTTTTCTCCCTAAATCTTGTCTCTGCTCCTGCTCCCACTCAATCGCTGAAGTGCTTTGAGTCATGGAGCCACTGTTGCCCAGTAACATTCCTGGCATAACAGAACTTCAGTGACATTATAGGGTGTGGAAGTAGGAGCAGAACAGGACATGCTGGCTTAGTGCCTCCAACGAAATGGAAAACGAAGTTCATCAATATGGACTTTGGAAAAGGGAGGCAATCTGGTGATCTCAGAATAGGTGATCTCATACACAGATTTGAAGGACATAGTGCACACACACAATGCTTTATTAAAGTAAACTTCATGTCTTACAATAGTTCCTAAGGCCAGAATGGAGGGGCTAGGAGCTACCAAGATCAATGTTGAGGCAAAATAAGAGGACGGGTACCTAATCCATTCAATTAGTCATTCATTAATTCATTCACTGAATTAACGTTAGCCCCATTGATGTCCCAGGCACTATGAGGGTTCCTGGTATATACAGATGAAAATAAACTCCCTGTCCTCAGAAAGATCACAGAGTAATGAGAGAGGCAGACACATAAATCATTAGAAAAAACATAATAGGTGCCATCATAGAGTATGTACAAGTGCTGTGGCTTGACACCCATATTTTCCAAATTAAAAAAAAATGGGAAGAGACATTGACGCATAGGCTTGACAATATCTCAGACTATTTGAAATTGGGACTATTCCAAAGAATAAAGGAGGAGTGATTGCCATGGTTATGAGAACTGTGCTGGGAAGAGAGGCATGGGTGTGCAAAAAGACTTCACTTTCTCATAGAATTATAATTTTTCCAGATAGACAAGAAAAGAAAGGGACTCTAAGGAGAAAGAACAGAGTGGATGCATGACAGAGAATCAGGCTTTAGGAAGTGATGCCTGAACAGGATGATGTGGCAGGAGGTGAGGGTAAAAGGAAGGGAGAGGCTAAATTATGAAGGCTCTTGAGTGTCATGTTAATAGTAGTTATCACCTATTAAACATCTCTGTGCATACTAAATACAGCACGAAGCAGTTAACAAGGATTATATCTCTTAACCTTCTCAACAACCTTCAGAAGCAAGTATTATTATTGGCCCCCACTTGACAGATGAGAAAACTGAGTTCACAGAAGTAAGGCAACTGCCCAAAGTCACACAGCTAGAACCTCAAAGTTCAAACTCCAACTCAGGTCTGGTTACTTCTAAGGCTCTGCTCTTAACTATATTACCATTCTGCCTCAAAGATTTTGGACTTTATCCTGTAGATGACAGGGAGCTATTAATGATATTTGAGCAGAAGAATGATGAAATCTGGGTTTTTAGAAAGGTTGGCGAGGTGAAAAATGAACTGGAGCAAAGAAAGACTGGCCTCTTCTCAATGAAAATGTGCTGATTCCCAAATTCTGGACTTAAGATAGTAGGGTAGCATCACGAGTCCTATCATCACAGGCCAGGTCGGAACAAGTCGGGGCGGGGAGCTTGGGGGTGGTGTCTGTGCAGGAGTGGGCGGGGCTGAAGAGAAAAGCCGGTTTAGGGGGCGGGATTAGGATCCCCTCGACGCTCTACTGCTTCTGCCTGTAGACAACCAGCTTCCGCCGCCGCCTGCCACGCGCAGGTAGTGGTGTGGAGCGCCGAGCTCTGAGCGCCGCGTTGGGTGAGGGGCTGTTGGTGGCCGCGCAGCCTCGGTAGGCGATATGAGTTTGGCTGGCGGCCGGGCGCCCCGGAAGACCGCGGGGAATCGGCTTTCTGGGCTTCTGGAGGCCGAGGAGGAAGATGAATTCTACCAGACGACTTATGGGGGTTTCACGGAGGCAAGAGCCGGGCCCAGAAAGAGGGAGGGAAAGAAGCTAAAAGGAGTCCTGAAGGGAGAAACCTCGGACAAAGAAGGGGGTGGGGAAGAGAGAGGAGCCTGGGCAGTTGAAAACTCAGGACTAAGTGGGGGAGTCGTGGGGTGCGGGGGAGGTACAGTGGAGTCCTAGAAGGGAGAGAGCTCTGGACGAGGCAGGGGTAGGGAACCTCTGTGGGAGCACCCCATAGTATGGCAGAAACCTATTATTTCTCCAGGTTTCTCTAGTTGCATATCTCACCGCACACCTGTCGTCTAGCGTGCGTGAGGGCCATCGTCGTCACGTGGTATATACGCGTTAGTCCACTCCCCAAAATAGAGGGGCTTAGCCTACCTTTTTAGCTTTCAAATACCAGTGTAAACGTCTCCTTAGATAACCCTTCTTTGACTGTCAAAAAAAAACTGTCCTCATTTATTATCTTCATAGAACATTTCACTTTGTAATTAGATTTGATTTGCTTGCTTGTTTATATTTTCGTATTAGTTTGGAAGCTCTGTAGGGTCAGAAATGGTCTATTTTGCTCAACAGTATATATCCAGTGCCTGGTCCAGTGTCTGGATTGGGTTGACATTTGTTAAATTTGTGTTGAGTGAATCTCTCCATTCTTTAGATATGTGTTGAGCACCTAGAGCAAGCCATGCCCAGTGAGTGATAGGCTCTAGCAAAACAATATTAAAAACACTACTTTGTCCTTATAGATTTCAGACCCCAGTGGGCATCTAGCTGGGTTAACACTTTAAAATGTGTGAGTAAAATGAGTGGTAAGCATAGGGTGCTGTGGGAACACATGGGAGCCAGAGTTGTTAGTTGGATGGGTATTCATGGGGACATAAGTTCAAGCTGAGGACAGTATGAAAAGTAGGCCTTGACTAGATGAAGAGCGGCAGAATTGGGAGCTGGGGGAGGAGAAAGGTTAGTCTACCAAGAGGGTGGGGCAGAATGTGTAAAGGACCTGATCCTGGTCCCGAGTTCTGTGCATGTGCTCTCGTTCTCTACACCTGAAGGAAAATAAAGATGGGTAGGGATGGAGGGAATAGGCATGGGCCAGAAACTGCAGGGCCTTGTGAGCTGTGGTAGGGTTAAGGAGTTTTGCTCTTCATCCAGAGGATTGAGAGAATGATGAAATTGACACTTTAGAAGAATCACTCTGTAATAAAGAGAATGGTTTGAGGTGGGCAGTGGGTATGGGGAATCATGGACGGACAGAAGGGTTCAAGAGAAATTAAGGCAGTAGAGTCCACAGGACTTGGTGACTGATCGGGAGTCATTACTTACACAACCCTAACCAGCTAGTTTAAAATAGAACTTTCTCATCCCTCTTCCAAAAGCCATTATCCTATTCCTGTCATTTTACGAGTCATTATTTAATATGTACCCGTCATGCTTCCAAAAAGGATTTAAGGAGGCTTATGATATAAACAAAAAGTAGGAACAGTAAAAATAGAGACAGATCAGAAGTAATTGTACCAGGAGCCTCTGCATAAATGGTAATAGTAATTGATATTAAATTTAGCCGTGAGAATCCTGGCAGTCAAATCCTGAATTTCTTTTTTTAGTAAGAAAGAAGCATATACGTTTTTTAAGAGAGACAAAACTTGTTCAGCTTTAAATCCTAGGGAGAATTACCTCCTAATGTATAAGATATAAAATAACAGGTGTTTGGTAGATGATGTAAAAATATTCTCTTATCTAGCCGTGTCGATTAACAGCCCTCAATAAAAGCCAAAGGAGGAATGGTAGTCAATCCGTAATTTAGTGAAAGCATTTTGATTGAGCACTAACCTAATACGTAGTTGAATTACTTCCCTCTGGTGATATAACTTAATACCACTTCAGAGCTGAGGGGATTAATGCGTTCCCAGGCTGTCTTTCACAAACATCACTTGGGAGGAAATGATGGTCATCAGTGCAAGATAGAACGCTGGCAGGCTTGGAGTGTCAACTGTCTCTGTCATTTGCTTGCTTTGGCAGTGTGTATACCAACATTAGCCCATTAGTCTGCATCATTGATTGAAGAGAGCCACATGTTTCAGGGGCCACACCCACCCAGTCAACTCCTCTGCCCCTAGTGAATAATTTTGCCCTTTCCTTTCTGACATGGCCCCCATTTTAAACCCTAATCTGCATCACTTCAGGGTCCAGGCTATACTCCATGTTCTCTACTCCAGCCCGTCTAATCCCTCCAGTTTGTACAACACCCCCTGTGCACAGTTTTCTTCTCTCATCGGATCTTCAGTGGCTCCCCACTCTACAGACTGGATTTTTGCAGCGTATAGTGCATTCCCATGTATAATGTGCATCCATGTTTTCGGCCCAAACTTTCAAGAAGAAAAAAATCTCTTGTTTTAATTTTTTAATTCAATTATTTATTTATATTTAGGCACTTGTTCTTTGTATTATAAAGGAATTTTAGCATTTTGACCATACAAATGTCATTATTGCTGTTTAGAGTTACACTTTCAACACATAAACATATGTAAAAGAATTAAGAACATTTATATAGATACGGAATTAGCACTACCCATGTATAATGTGCGTCCTTATTTTTCCCTCAAAAACTTGGGCAAAAAAGTGCGTGTTACACACAGCAAAATACAGTAGTAGTAATACTCAACCGTTTTTCTGTCCCAACACACTGAGGAGTAAGTCATTTCTCAGTAATTCTAGTTTACTTCAAAAATAATTATTAATGCTGGGACAAGTAAGGAGAGGATTGAGAAACACTGGCCTGCAAGTTAAAGTCATAACTTTATTAACCTGACACTTAAGTTTCTCTATAGATTGATCGATTTTATTCAAATCTTATAGCCCTATAGGGCATCAGTTAATGTTAGAAGGAGGCTGTTTTGGGGCCAAATATAGTCAGCTAAGTAGACTTCTTGCCAGAGATAAAGCTCTGCTTTACTTGGGTCTAAATCCTTATTTTATAAACATACACAGTCCTACTTTGTTCCTGCCACTCTGTAAACCCATAATTCCCTCTTTCCTCTTAGCTATCTAAATACTACCAGTATTTTACACTGTGTCTCAAGTTTTCTTCATTTTTAACAGCCTAAAGCAGAAGTTCATCCACTACAAACTACTGGACAAATCTGGCTCATTACCTGTTTTAATCTGGCTCTATACAAAAAAAGTTTGCCAACCCTTAATCTAAAGGAATAAAGGCTGAATATTAAACCTTCTTTGGCCACCAGTCTGTAGCAAGTATGGCTTCCTCTCAACACCTGTAAAGTTATTGCTGTCTGGTACTTTATATGTTGCCTTCTATTAAAACTTCCTTTTATATTTATGTTCTGCCCTCTAGTAGACAGTAAGACCCCTTAAAGTAGAGACCAAAGCATATCCTTTTGTACCCCACCACTCAACATGGTGTGATATAGGTAAAGAACAGTCAGTTGATGTTGGAAGGGGTGTTGCTGGAGCTAAAGGCCGTCAGCTAGGAAGGTTTCTTTCCTGAGGAAAATGAATGGCTGGGTTGGGAAGGAGAGTGGACAGCCCTGTCAAGAAAGCAAAGAGATTTTGTTCTTCCTGGAGGGACATTAATGATTCTGATGCCAGTGAGAACCTCATCTCCCTATGTCTTCAGGAATCAGGAGATGATGAATATCAAGGGGACCAGTCAGACACAGAGGACGAGGTGGACTCTGACTTTGACATTGATGAGGGGGATGAACCATCCAGTGATGGAGAAGCAGAAGAGCCAAGAAGGAAGCGCCGAGTAGTCACCAAAGCCTATAAGGTACAGGGGAAGTCCTGGTTTTCTTGGACTTCCCTAATTCCTATTTTCCCTTTCATCAGGTCCCGGTACTCCCTGTACCAGTCCCATTTCTTACAGTGCTAGTTTTCTCAAGATTCTCGTCGTCTTTCCCCTTACCTTTCTGTTCCTTGGTGTCTGATTCCAATCTGTCCCCAGGAGCCTCTCAAGAGCTTGAGGCCTCGAAAGGCCAGCACCCCAGCTGGTAGCTCTCAGAAGGCCCGAGAAGAGAAGGCACTGCTACCTCTAGAACTACAGGATGATGGCTCTGACAGTGAGTGGGGATGTTTGGGTCAATTGACAAAACTGGAATATGATGATAAAAGTGTCAGTGTCAAATTTGCTGAAGTTGATAACTGTACTATGGTTATATAAGGAAAATCCTTATTCTTAGGAAATACTGCAGTATTTAGGGATGGAGAGTCATGATGTGTGCAACTTAACTGTGATTATTCAGAAAAAGTAAGTTATAGAACACACGTACAATGCAGATGGGGCAAAATGTTAACAGTGATATGGGTAAAGCATACATGGGTGTTCTTTCTACTACTGCAACTTTTTTGTAAGTTTGAAATTATTTCCAAAAAAAAGTTTTAAAAGTAAAAAAAAATCAATAAAGGAGGTAGACATGAAGTCAAAGATTTCTTCCTCTCTGATATCCTTTCCAGGTCGGAAGTCCATGCGTCAGTCTACAGCTGAACATACACGGCAAACATTCCTGCGAGTACAGGAAAGGCAGGGCCAGTCACGGAGGCGAAAGGGGCCCCACTGTGAGCGGCCACTGACCCAGGAGGAGCTGCTCAGGGAAGCCAAAATCACAGAGGAGCTCAACTTACGTTCACTGGGTCAGTGTATGGTTTTGAGAACAGTGGGTAGAGGAGCTGAAGAGCATGAGAAAAGTGGAGGACCAAAAGAACTGGAAAGGTGGAGATATGGGAGAAGGGAATTAGAAGAAAAAACTGGGTATAATAAATTATTAGGTATAAAGAGCTAGGGAGTTACAAAGTCTCTGAAGCACAAGTGATATTGAGGTACTCTGGTATAAAATAAGGGTTGTATAGAACTGAGTTCAAATGCTAGCTCTGCAGTTGTTATAAGACTGGGGGTAAATAACTTACTTGCATCTTGCTTTCTTTGTTTACAATTGGGGTAGTAATGTCTATTTTAATGATCAGGAGAATTAGAAATTCAGTAGAATCAGTTCATAAGATAAATTGCTGTAAAGTAAAAGAATTTTTAAATCTCAGTTTATATGCTATTTGGTATACAATCGTGTATAATAATATATTGTACAAAAACAAATTTCTTTGTATGGTGAGTCTCAAATCATAAGAGGGTACACGAGAAATAGAGGGGACAGATGTCATGTGCTCATTCTGGGTCACACTTTCATTGAGTGAAATAGTGAAGTAACAGTATTATCAGTAATCCAGGTCTGGGTGTGGGAGTTTACATTGACAAAGAATGATTAAAATGATAGGTTGAGGAATCTTAGCCCCATTTAAAAAGGAAAACAAACCCTGGCTGGTGTGGCTCAGTGGAGTGAGTGCTGGCCAGTGAACCAGTCACTGGTTTGATTCCCAGTCAGGGCACATGCCTGGCTTGTGGGCCAGGTCCCCAGTAGGGGGTGTGCAAGAGGCAACCACATTGATGTTTCTCTCCCTTTCTCTCTACTTTCCCCTCTCTAAAAAGAAATATATAAAGCCTTTTTAGGCTTTATAGGAAATAAAAAGGAAAAGAAAGCCCCCGGAAGGGGCTGATAGAATGAGGAGAACCCATGTACAGCAGGTACTGAAAAAGTAGAAGAACAGACATACCTGCAGGGTAGTGGAGCAAACAGACCTGAAAGACAGTATGTTGTGGTCACAACCTGGATGTACAGTTTTGAATTATTTCAGAGCTGGAGCAGTTTCAGGCGTTGACAAAGTCTAGGCTGTAACTATAGCAGAATGGAGTAACTAATGTATCATGGATAAGAAGGTTATCAAGAGATGAGGTTATAGCCTTGACTGGTGTGGCTCAGTGGATTGAGTGCTGGCCTGTGAACCAAAGGGTCATTGGTTTGATTCCCTGTCAGAGCACATGCCTGGGTCATGGGCCAGGTTCTTGGTGGGGATTGCATGAGAGGCAACCACACATTGATGTTTCTCTCCCTCTCTTCTCTCTAAAAAATAAATAAAATCTTTTTTCAAAAAAGAGAGTGGTGAGGTTGTAAAGAAACTAGGGGTGTGGTGTTGAAAGGGCTACCTGTGTGTACTTCAAAGTTACCAGGGTGACTGAGAGGACAGGAGTTGGGAACTGTTGCCAGAGTCTTCCATGAGTGAGGGGGTGACTGTGACTAAGAAGGAGAGGAGACAAGCTGGATTGTGGGCTCAGGTCTCAGAAGAGAAGGGAGTGTGTAGGTGGGTAGAAGAACAGTGATCTCAAAGCTGCAGTGTGGGGCTCAATAGGACACAGGCGAATCTCGTGGGACGTGAGAGGGTGAGCTGCCTCTACCAGAGGGCCGCAGGGGGCGCGGCGACCTCACTAGGTGATAGGTTTCTGGTAAGACAGGTTGTGAAATGCTCAGTGAGGGAAGTTATAAATGAATTGGCTGATTATAGAGCAGGAGTTCTGAGACTGCAAGGAAGTGTTCCAGAGGAGGGTTGGAAGGTTGGCTCTGGGGAAAGAAAACAATATTATCAGGCAGAATTTGAGTACACAAAAGGTTAATTTACTTGAGGGGTTTCTAGAGGACTCTTCTGGTTGGAGTTTATCCAGAGGTTTGTGTTCACAGTACCCACATTTAACAAGGAAACACATTTGGAGTTAATTCAGAGGAACGGAACCGGGAATATTTTGATCTGTGTATACATTGACAGATATTTGTTGAATGCTTGTAATGTGTGGAATGCTGCATGACTTGATAGTTTGTAGGTAATATGATGTCTTGGCTGCTGTGGCTCGGTGGGTTGAGTGCCAGCCTGCCATCTGGAAGGTCACCGGTTCAATTCTGGTCAGGGCACATGCCTAGGTTGCAGATCAAGTCCCCAGTTAGGGGTGTGTGAGAGGCAACCGATTGCTATTTCTCTCACATATTGATGTTTGTCTCCCTCTACATCTCCCTCCTTTCCCCTCTCTCTAAAAGTAAATAATAAAAATCTTAATTTGTAGGTAATATGAGTCACAGTCACTGCCCATGAGGAGGAGACATCCACCAACCGTACACTGCCATGGAGCAGTGTCATAGGGTCCAGCCAGGGGGACTGTGGCGTAGTAGAGAGGTGTGCCTAAAAGGAGCAGTTACTCGGTTCAGCTGCCTGTGAGAATGCAGACCAAGGGTTACCACCCCGGGCTGCCAGATTTTCTTAGGATTTTTTAAGAGACACCAGAAATCTCTGTATTTAAAGTAATTATCTAATTTTTAAATGTCAACAACTAATTCAAATTTTTCTCTTTTTTTTAAAAGGTCTTATTTATTTTTAGAGGAGGAAGAGAGGGAGAGAAACATCAACGTGTGGTTGCCTCTCACATGCCCCTTATTGGGGACCTGGCCAGCACCCCAGGCTTGTACCCCGACTGAGAATTGAACCAGCGACCCTTTGATTCACAGCCCACACTCAATCCACTGAGCTACACCAGTCAGTCAAATTTTTCTTTAAAAGACAATGCAGGTCAGCCCTGGCTGGTGTGGCTCAGTGGATTGAGCATGGGCTTGTGAACCAGAGAGTCACGGTTTGATTCCCAGTCGGGGTGCATGCCTGGGTTGCAGGCCACTTCCCAGCAGGGAATGCATGAGAGGCAACTGTACATTGATGTTTCTGTCCCTCTCTCCTTCCCTTCCCCTCTAAAGATAAATAAATAAAATCTTAAAAAAAAAAAGACAATGCTGATCAAACAAAATACTTAAGTGGGCTGCCAGCTTGCAACTTCTGCCACGGACTGTGATAAGCACAGTAACAGAAGAGTGTCCTAGGCTCTGGGGTGGCAGAAGGAGGGAGTGACTCAGAGTCATTATTACACAAGGAATGGTTCAGTGGGATGGGTGTTATAATCAGCCTGGAGACACATGGACACTGATTTTAACTATTTAAAGGACTGTCATGTGGACGACATTAGATTCTGTTCTCTGTGGCCTTAAAAGGTAAAAAACAGTATCATCAGACACTTTCCTATTTCAGCTCAAAATAGGAAAGAACTGTAATGACTAGAGATGCCGAAAGATGTGCTGCCTGGGATGGGAGCAAGTTGACAGGGCAGTTGTGGGGAGTGTGTGGGGAATTGAACAGGCTCCTCCTCAAAGGGTCCCTTCCAACTCTGAAGTCCTACAGTTCTGGGCAGGTGAGGGGCCAAGTGGACTTTAGAAATGGTGAGCAAAGAGAATTCAAGAGGGGCAAGCAGGAAACGTTTTAAGATGGGAGATGCTAGAGGACCCTAGAGGACTTTGATAATGGGCTTGGTAGGCAGTGACTAAACAGCCAGGAAGATAATTGAGAGATTGTAGGACAGAACTGGGATGTGGAAAGAGGGGCAACTGACCATCCTCTCATTCCTTCTTTTGACCTTGAAGAGACATATGAGCGACTAGAGGCTGACAAAAAGAAGCAGGTTCACAAGAAGCGGAAGTGCCCTGGGCCTACAATCACCTATCATTCAGTGACAGTGCCGCTGGTGGGGGAGCCAGTCCCTAAAGAGGAGAATGTCGATGTGGAAGGGTGAGTAACTCTCTCGGGGGGAAGGGAAGAGAGGTTTCTCCCTTCTCTCAGCTTTAATTTTCAGAACCCTACCTCCCTTGCTTTCACTGACACGTCAGTATGTTTCAGATCCTCTCCCCTTCAGCTCCCTATCTCTTTCCCTTGTAGCCCCTTTTCTCCCTCTGTTTTTCTATCCAGCCCAGCTTTCTTTTCTGGTGTGTCACTTAATGGACTCTCTCAGAATGTCTCCCTCTCTCTGCCACCTCCTCTTTCCTCACCTCTCTGATCTTTTTTTATCTCTTGATTTCTATATCAGCTCTTAGTGTTTTTCTCTGTCTTTTCCTTCAGACTTGATCCCGCTCCCATGGCTCCCCGTGCTGGGCCTGGACCCATCGTCTCTCCTGCTCGCTGCTCACGCACCTTCATCACTTTTAGTGATGATGCGACATTTGAGGAATGGTTTCCCCAAGTGAGGCCCCCAAAGGTCCCTGTTCGGGAGGTCTGCCCGGTGACCCACCGTCCAGCCCTGTACCGGGACCCTGTTACAGACATACCCTACGCCACTGCTCGAGCCTTCAAGATCATCCGTGAGGCCTACAAGAAGTACATCACTGCCCACGGACTGCCACCCACCGCCTCTGCCCTGGGCCCGGGCCCACCACCTCCCGAGCCCCTCCCTGGCTCCGGGCCTCGAGCCTTGCGCCAGAAAATTGTCATCAAATGAAGAGATGTCTGTTTCTTAAAACCTCTTTCCTGCCTGACTTCGGCTCTCAGTGTCCCCCCTCCACGCCCCATTTCTCCCTTCGTCATCTCTAATCTTAGCCCAGCCCTTTACTATATTTCTTTTGCCATCTTTTCCCCTAGTTCCTACTGGTTTTGTTTGTGTTTTTTAATCTAATAAAATAGAAGGATCCCTTTTGTCTGATGTCTAATTTAGGGTTGGGAGCAATAAGTATTTGTGAATGCCTGAGTGTATGTGGATCTTTATATTTGTTTAATAGTTGCCCTTTTTAAATTGTCAAGTATTCATTGCTCCAACCAGATTATAAACACCTTAAACTTAGACACGAAGTAAAAGCCTTACACTAAGCCTTTACATCACCTTACAGTCACTGCTTTGAACACAGCAGGCACCAAGGAAGTAGGATCTCTCTGATTCTCATAGAACTCCAATTTCCAGAACCTAGGCCTGTGTGAAGGAAAAGGGAGGAGGTGGGTGTCATGGCTGTTGGTGGCCACTAGAGGCTCCCGGGGCTGGGCAGGGTATGGGGGCTGTGTATATGTGATCTCCCACTACCCCCCACCTGGCCAGAGCTAAAATAATAAAATGCTGAGCTCACTGTTCCCCCACCCTTTCCCCCGGCACTGGGCACTGGGCTCTGGGCTCCTCCTGCCACGGGGACAGTGCTCCAGTAGAACAGACAGACTGACCTACAGAAGGGGAGGTGAGGAGGGAAGTGGCCATCAGGACTGGTAGGTGGGGAAGGCAGGGGGCTCATGGATCAGAGCCTGGTGGGAGATGGCTCTGGGAAGTGGCTCCTACTGGGAATAATACAAAGTCTGTCTCTGTCTCTGTCACTCAATGTAAGTTTCTGCCACTGTCCGTCATATCCCTTAACTGTGTAGTTTACATCGTCAATGTAAATATCACACACTTTCTGCCTCTTTCATATTCAGCATGGTGTGTATGTGTAGCTTGGATGTATTTTCTTATATTGTAAAAGCTTGTGCAAATTTAATCCACTGTTTTTAAAGAAACTTTATTCCATTTAGAAGGCATTTTTCACCCATTGGTCTGGTGTCACCTTCCTGTCCAATGCCAGGGACAAATTATGGGGACTCAGCCCTCCCTCCCGAGGCCATACTACCCTTCCCCCAACCTGGAAGTGCCTGCTCCTCCAGCTTCTCTGCACCCTGGTTTCCCTTAGGATTTTAGAATTTTAGCAAATGTAGAAAGTGAAATCTTGATCCCCCACAATAAAAGAAGACATGAGCGTGGAGTAAGAGAACTTTTTTTCTCCACAACCCCAATCCTTGCTTTCTTAAGCCAGTTTGAGGCAAAGACTGGATTATGGGACAAAGAGGAGGAATATCCCTGAAGCTGTCTGCCCACCTCCCCTTTTTCTTTCAATAAGAACTGGGCCTGGGGCCGGCTGTGCTGGCAGGGCTCCCGGCAGCTGTGCTAGGTCAAGAGGCCCGACCAGCAAAGTTGTATAGGAGAGGGGAGCTGCCGGGATTTCTCTGTCATACAGTGGGCGGACAGATCCAGCCTGGATGCCTGTGATCCTCATCCAGACTGTCTGGAAGCTGGGGAAGCAGGAAGGAGGCCCTGGTTCTAACTAAACAACCTAACTTCCCCTGTCTTCCATCTTCCCATCTTCCCATCTAGATTTCTAACATAAAGGCATCCGGTTCATTGTTCTACTCCCTGGGTGGTCTGTTTGTGTCCCTACTGTGTTTGTCCCTATAGGTCTTTCCATTGTCCAACCACTTTCCCATGTTCCTCAGGCTCTGTGAGTGCCACACTGTGGGGAGGGGGTGGGGGCCATCATGTCATCGTATCTGAAGGAACTGGAGAAATACAGAGACATAGATGAAGATGAGATCCTAAGGACCTTGAGCCCTGAGGAGCTAGAGCAGCTGGACTGCGAGCTACAAGAGATGGACCCCGAGGTAGGGGCTCCAGAACAAGGAACCAGGGGCAGTCCCCAGGCGTTTGGGGAAGGGTGCAGGGCCCTGGGGGGCTGAGACCAGGGCTACCCACAGGGCCCGGAGTCCCAAGAGGACCCAGGAACGGGTGTCTGGAGATGTTTTAGGGAGCCCTGGAGGTGCCTCACATCAGAGGGGAGGTCTGACTTGCTCCCCAAAACTCATCCCTAAGAACATGCTCCTGCCAGCTGGACTTAGACAACGTGACCAGACAAAGAAGAGCCCAACAGGGCCACTGGACCGAGAGGCCCTCTTGCAGTACCTGGAGCAGCAGGCACTAGAGGTCAAAGAGCGAGATGACTTGGTACCCTTCACAGGCGAGAAGAAGGGTATGGAGACCCTGCCATCCCACAACACAAATGGCTCCCTCTCATATGTTCTCCCTCCAGCTTCCCTGCCAGCTCCTAGCTGCTTAGGGACTCGGCTGCCCTGATACCTGCATGAATGCTTGCACTCTTCAGCTCTTATAAAAGATCAGGGGACTCAAGAGCCCTGAGCTTGTAGAGGATTCAGGCTTTCTACTGTTCCCTAGTGACCAAGCATTCCAAGACCTCCCAGAGAAGAAAAGGAAGCTGGAGGCCAGGCTTAGGAGAAATGGCCTCTACCTGAATCATCCTTCCTCTCTCCATCAGGGAAACCCTATATTCAGCCCAAAAGGGAAATTCCAGCAGAGGAGCAGATCACTCTGGAGCCTGAGCTGGAGGAGGCACTGGCCAATGCCACAGATGCTGAAATGTGTGATATTGCAGGTAGGCAGCTGGGGAGGTTGAAGAGGGTGGGAAGATCAGGGGCAGGGGCTCTTAGTCATGGTATGGGATTAGTGAGGAAGGCTCTGAACCAGGACATGAATGTTTGAAAAAGCCTCAGGTAGTGGTTTTTAATTTTTCTTATTTATGTTAGTCCATTTGTGTGTGTTTTTTTTTAATTAGTTAACATCTCAAGGGCCTTTTACAGGGATTATAAAGCAAATAAAAGTGGAACTATTCTGGCTGAAAAGAGGAGGAAGTCTGACAGACTTTCTCACCCTCTAGTGGCTCCTTAGGGACCCTCTCTCAGTGTTTTAAAAACCACTGCCTTAAGTAGTTTACAGAAAGGACCCCTGGGGCCAAAGAAGGAAGAACCTCTTTGGAAGAGTGGAGGAGGTCAAGCTTAAAAAATGCAACAGTCAGAATGAGGTGGAAGGGGTGGCTTGGCACAAATCCCTTCTCATTCCACATGCCCCCTCTGCCTCCTCTTTCCAGCAATTCTGGGCATGTACACACTGATGAGCAACAAGCAATACTATGATGCCCTCTGCAGTGGAGAAATCTGCAACACTGAAGGCATTAGCAGTGAGTATGTTTGAGAGCATGGCCCCAGGACTCTTGGCGGGCAGTCCCGGAGTCTTGAGGAAAGATAGCAAAGGATGAAACAGGTGAATTGGGGAGGGGGCACGTGTAAGTGATAAGAAAACCGACAGGGAGAAGGTTGTGGGGGATGTGGGGTTTCCTTCCGGCCCTCACCCACAGGTGTGGTGCAGCCTGACAAGTATAAGCCAGTGCCAGATGAGCCTCCAAATCCCACAAACATCGAGGAAATAATAAATCGTGTGCAAAGCAATGACAAGGAGCTGGAGGAGGTGAACCTCAATAATATACAGGTATTTGACCCCCATCCTCCAAATAACAACACATGGAGATAACTACTGACATGTGAGTTCCTGGGCCCACCATCTCCTCCTGTTCTGCTCTCATAGGACATCCCAATACCCAAGCTAACTGAACTGTGTGAGGCCATGAAGACAAATACCCACGTCCGGAGCCTCAGTCTAGTGGCCACGAGGAGTGGTGACCCAATTGCCAATGTAAGGCTGGTGGACATCCCTAGCCCTCTCCCCATAACCAGACCTGCTTCCCTGGCAGGGTTGTCATAAAGGGCTGCACTGGGGGGTGCTAGTCCCCTCATGCTCTCCTAGGGTACCCCTGATGGAGACTCCTACCCTGAGTTCGAAGGCTCACAGCTCTGAAATCCTCAGATCATCTTCCCAAAGAGCCACAACCTCTCTGCCCCGCCTCAATTCTACTGCACACTGAATCTCCCCGCTTTCCCTACTACCTACCCTCACTTCCATCTCCCTCTAGCCCCACCTATAGCTCCTCAAGGGCTCATCTCAAAGACCTGTGTTTCCCTCTTGCTCCTGTTTGCTCTCCTCAGTCATCTGTGAAACTGGCCCCTAAACCTAACCCAAGTCCCTACTACCCAGGTGGTGGCTGACATGTTGCGTGAGAATCGTAGCCTCCAGAGCCTGAACATTGAATCCAACTTCATTAGCAGCACAGGGCTCATGGCTGTGCTGAAGGCAGTTCGGGAAAATGCCACACTCACTGAGCTCCGTGTAGACAACCAGGTCAGCATTCCGTTCCCTTGGGCTTTACATTCAGCTAATGCTTCCTGAGTCTCCTCCCTGCGGCAGCCACTGGGTCAGGATCTCATCTGATCTTGTTGATTTCTCTTCACTGTCTCTGTGAAGGCAGCCGAATCAGCACCTCTCATCACCCACTCTAGAGAAACAAGCCTCCTTGACCTCCCAAAGGGTGGGTGGTCTGGAGCAGTGAATAACCCAGAGAGTGGCTGACAGCTTTCATTTCTCCCTCCCCCAGCGCCAGTGGCCTGGTGATGCGGTGGAGATGGAGATGGCCACTGTGCTTGAACAGTGTCCCTCCATTGTCCGCTTTGGCTACCATTTTACACAGCAGGGGCCACGAGCTCGGGCAGCTCAGGCCATGACCCGGAACAATGAACTACGTGAGTAACTGCAGACGTGGTGTTGGGAGGGAGGGTCAAGTTGGTGCAGAAGCTGATGGATAGTCCTAAAGGGGACTTACTAACATCTGGGGGTGCGGCCCAAGCGATACTAACATGAGAAATTCAAATACCATAAGTGGTCCAAAAGTAGAGAGAAAAGTCCCCTGCCCCAAATCTATACCTCCAGAAAAGTGGAAGGAAACGAGACATATCTGTTTGGAAGCACAGTATTTTTGTTGTCATTTCTTCTTTTCTTTTATTAATGTGGCATGAGCATGTTTGGTGGCCTAAGACATTACCTCTTTACAAGTCTAGCCAAGGAACTGGGAAGGAGAAGACCACCTTTGCAGAAAGCAAGTGATGGGACAAATCTTGTATTTACTTTTCCTCCTTTACAGGTCGCCAGCAAAAAAAGAGATGACACTACCTTTGCATTTACCATCAATAGCTGGGGGCCCTGAACCCTCATCTATCCCCCTTTTCCTGTAAATAAAGGTCCTTCTGTCCACCCTGCCTGCCTCCTTCCTTGGGCTTTGGGGTGGAAATCTTGGCGCTAACACCCAAGGGTTACTGCCAGTTCATCAGGGGATTATTTATACTCTGGGGATCAACAGGCAGGGAGGTTCAAGTTACTAGGAAGAGGTGGGGGAGCTCCCTCCCTTGGTGTTCCCCATAACTCTGCCAGCGCCTTCAGTCTCTTCTACTTTCACAGGATACTTAGCCTCAGCCCTGTTTCCAGATGTGGTCAGGCTTCCCCCCACCCCAGTTTCTACCCACAATCCTCATGTGATTTGAAGGAAGAAAAGACTGAGTAGAGGTAGGAAAGAAGGCAGACACCATGAAGGGCAAAGACCTCCTTCTGACAGACTTATTAATAGGGCACCGGGCTGCATGCAGCTGACGCTTGGCACGACTCTGATAGAAGGTGGGGGAGGGGTTGGAAGTATGGGGAGCTGTGTATGTACATTGCAGGGACGGACTGGCCAGGCTGAGAAGGAACACATCTGAAATCCTAAAGTGGGACAAGGAACCAGACTTGAGAAAAGTTAGGCTCCCAGCGCCCGCTGTAGTTTATTTCTGAATTAAATGGGGAAACAGGGTATCATTCCAAGGGGAGATCAGGAGGTTCCTCCTCATCAGAGTCAAACTCAACATTCTCATCTTTTACCCATCGACCTCGTCCATCTGGAATCCATCCAGAGCTGGAAACATAAGAGAAAATAGAATTGGTCAGGGAAGGAAGTTTTTGAGAAGTCAGTGGGACAAGAAAAACCAAGAAGGTCTCAAAAGAAAGAGGTCATAGAAAAAAGGGAAAAGTGATTCTGCATACTCACCTTCGAAGGGTGAGGTAATGATCCAGGACTCGTCTTCTTGTGGGGCTCATAGGTGCAGGGGATGAGACAGTTGCTAACTCCTTGGCCTGTGAGCCAGCCCCAGGCTCAGGGTCCCTACTGATCTTCTCACTTTGGACTTCAACCTCTGGGGGTGGCAAAGGGAAAGGCGAGACAGAGGGACGAGGTGCTTCTGGTCTGGGTAGAGAAGAATCACAATCTGTCAAAGCAATAAAGCAAAGAGCCATCTCTCCTGTGATTCCCAACCCCTTAAAGCAGTATTTCCTTAACGGTGTTCCTCAAGATATTAATGTGTCCTATGGAAAAAGGCTTTCGGAATCAAATGAATTTAGGAAAGGCTAGGTTAAAAATTCTAAAGATTTTTATCTTAAGACTTCATAGAGCCCTTAGAATATACTAATGTTACTACTTTTCAAAAGCATCCTACTTTAGCCCTGCTGGTGTGGCTGAGTTTGCTGGAGCATCATCCCATACACTAAAAGGTTAGGAGTTCAATCTCCAGTCAGGGCACATACCGGGGTTTCCAGTTCAATGCCCTGTCGGGGTGTTTATGAGATACAAGTGATCAATGTTTCTCTCTCACACTGATGTTTCTCTCTCTCTCTCTCTCTCCCCCTTCCTCTCTCTCTCTAAAAAAATCAGTAAACATATACTTTTTAGAAAGTATCCTTTGGTCCTGGCTGGGTAGTCATCCCATACACCAAAAGGTTGTGGGTTCAATTCCTAGCCAGGGCATATGCTTCAGTTGCAGGTTCGATCCCCAGTTGGGGTACATATGGAAGGCAACCAATGAATGGTCCTTTCATATAGATGTTTCCTTCTCTCTCTCCCTTTCTCTCTCTCTAAAAAAAATAAATAAACATATCTTTGGGTGAGGATTTAAAAAACCATACTGCCCTGGCTGGTGTGGCTCAGTGGATTAGGCACTGGCCTGCAAACCAAAAGGTCACTGGTTTGATTCCCAGTCAGGGTACATGCCTGGGTTGCCGGCCGGGTCTCCAGTTAGGGGCCTGCAAGAGGCAACCGAGTGATGTTTCTCTCACAGTGATGTTTCTCTCCCTCTCTTTCTCCCTCCCTTCCCCTCTCCCTGAAAATAAATAAATAAAATATTCTGAAAAAACCATCCTACTTTGTCATCCTACTAAGTGCCATTTCCCAAACTTTTTTTAAATTACAAAATTCTCATTTTCCTGAAATACCAATTAACGTCCCCAGAACATTAGTATTCCTGAGAATACAATTTGGAAAACAATAACTTAAGAACCATCTACCTACTTTCTTATCCTCCACCCCTGATTTTCCTACCTCACAGACCTGTACTTCCGGCGACAGCAACTGTTATAGTGAGGAGCTCTGTGCAGAGCATTGTGGGTTATAAGTCGAGTCTGGGTTAACAGAGGAGCCTAGAATGGAGACAGAAGACAGAGTCAGTGCTTCTTTCTAGAAGCCAAAGCCCTTCAGGCCTTTGCAGCACAATCCTGCCTGGAACAAACATTTCCACGTCTGATTACCTCTGCTTTGGTCTCTTCCCTCTCCGTTTCATTCTGCTGTCTTGGATTCTGCTCCATTCCCTTTCCTGTCTGCTTCTTGCCATAGAAAAGCTGCAGGCCTGAGGTGAAAGGCAAGAGAATCATAGGCAGAGCACCATGAGTGTGCTGCATACATTTTAAGGGTTTATTCTCTATCACCTTTCTTCCTGCAAACTTACTAGACAGATGTTTCTTGCCTGCACGGTGGGCAGTCAGCATGGTCAGAGTGTCCAGTACAGGTCGGTGGGGACAGATGGCACAAGCAAAGCTGGAGAGAAGATAAATAGTCCCTGGAGAGTGGGGTCTCTGCCGTAGGTCCTACCTTGTCCTAGCAGTCCTTTCCAAAGCCCAACTCCCAACTATCGCAGTCTCCATCACCCACATCCCTGTCCCTCACACCCCACCAAAAAATGCTAGATACTCTGCTCTCCTCCTTAACAAGTTTATTGTTAAGCCTCCAATGTCAGAACCCTCAGACTTGATCCACTCTCTGCCCTCACCGTCCATCCCGTAGCATCAGCGCCTCATCCTCTGGGATATAACTGGCCAGCAAGTCCCCGACTCTTCGCTTCTGCAGAGGGAAAGGGAAAAGTCCGGAAAGATCAGCTGGATAGGAGGAAGGGGTTGAAGGGAGATGACAGAGACGAGGACTCACAGCCAAGCACTAGTCGCCTGTTCTCTCCCGCCCCCCCGATTTGTTGCTAGAGCAAAACAACTTCTTCACGGCCTTCAGAGGGCAGCGGAAGCTACTTTAGACGCTCCCATCTCGCGCTTACTTTGAGCACATTGAGTTGACTCCAATCGTCCCCCTCTCTCTTAAAAGACATCACGACTGTGAGTCTCAGAAATAATTCTATGGCACAGCTTTGCCACTCCTTTCCGGCCACCGTAGCAAGAGTGGGGCGTCTCCTTCCCTTCCCTTCCAGTCTCTTTCCGGTTGGCCTCCTTACTTCCGGGGACGCGCAACCGCGCAAGCACGGCGGGAACCCGAAAGCCCGCCTCCAGCCCACCGAAGGGGACTGCATTTCCTATGATGCCCTGCGACCCCTCAGACGCATAGCCTTTTGGGAAATGAAGTCTTTCATCAAAGAGCTTGCCGGCCGGCTGGATTCAGGCCCTTGCATCTTGTCATATTCGAGGCATTTGGAGGGATAGATGTGGAACCCGAATTTGAGGATGTGACTCATTCGATGCGGAGTGGGGCTCTGAGGATCTCTAAGTGGAAAGTGTACTTCAAACTCTCCCAAACATCTCGCGCTTCGTCGACGGCGAAAGCCCACCTGGGTGGGCCTGATTTCTTCCCTTCCCGAGAGGACCATCTCCAGGAAAGGGTGGGACTGGGGTGTAGGACTGGCCAGAGGCCCGGCTGCCGCACCTGGGAGCAAACTGAGCCGAATGTTGAGAAAAGTGTATAGGGTTCAAAGGTCAGAGGTCAGTGTCGCGAGTTGTAGAGGGTCGAAAGTCGGAGGGGTACTAAGGAGACTTAGGTAGAGACTGAATACTCAAAGGGCAGATTTGTGAGAATAGGGGTTTGGAGGGAGGAGAAACGAGAGTGGAGGGTGAGTGCGTAGTGCCGGGGGGAGAGACTTGGAAAATAATACAGAAAATAAGAGGAATTCCCTGGTTATCCGTCCCCAGTCCCCGGGCCTACCACCGAAAGGTCCTTGGCTCGGTGTCCCCGCAGTTGCAACCCCAGCTGCCGGCAGGGTGAGGAGATGGCTTCTCCCTCTAGACAGGATCCCCTCGGGGGATCAGGACTGCTTCAAGGGGGCCGGGCTCGTTCTTACGGAAGCCTGGTGCAGTCGGCTTGCTCCCCAGTGAGGGAAAGACGCCTGGAGCATCTGTTGGCGCCCGGAGACACCTTGGCGGGACTAGCACTCAAATACGGGGTGACGGTGAGTCTTCCAGGTTTGGGATGTGGACACCCAGTTAAAAGAGATTTATTCCTCAGGGGAATGTAATGGACCTTCTAGACCATTTCCTCTGAAATTTTCCTGATCGTGTTGCGTTATCTGATCCATCTTTACCTTTTTGTTTGTTTTCCCATTTGCACTGTCCGGTTGGGACAAATCCTATCCCACTACCTCAGTGAAGAGGAGCAGCTCCCTTTTATTATGCCAGTGACTATGTAGGGGCTTTACATACATTAGCCCACTCAATCCTCACACCCCTGTGAGAATACAATTGTCCCCTTTTTACAGATGAAGAAACTGAGACTTAGATCGGCTCACCAGTTTGACCAAGGTCAAATAACTAGTGAGCATTAGAGTGGAAAGTCAAACAAGTCTGTCGGACTCCAAAGTCTGTACTGTTAGCCACATAGAAATTTGTTGAGAGTGATTAAAATTTACAGCAAAGCATGAAGAGCTAGTCTTTAGTTCTTAGTTCCTAAAGTGCCCATCTCTCCTTGTTCTTTTTTTTCCTCCTCAATTTTCTGCCTTCTTCTTTCCAAGGTTCTCTGTACACCAAACATTTCAGATCATGGTAAGGATATATGTAAGAGGGGTAAACGTATATTGCCCTAAAGTTGATGAGAGTTTTTCTTTTTTCCATACCCTGTTGAATTCAGCCAACATTTTAATGCTTGGTAGGTTTAGAGCACTCTGATAGCTATCTTGGGAGATAGAAACATAAATAAAATGTATAGTTGCTGCTCATATAATTTACAGTCTAGTGAGAAATGAACTGGGACACAAATAATGGTCGTAGGTGAGAATGTGGTGAGTTTGTGGAGGTATTAACAAAGGTTAGGAAACCAGAAAAGAAGATTAATTTTATTTGGAGGGGAGTAGGCATGGACATCAGTTCAGATTTCAAGGGAGCCATCAGGAGGGGCCTTGAAAGACTCTCTTCAAACCTGTGTAGTCCAGTCATTTACACCTTTTAACATCTTTATGTTTCTAATAGCCTATACTCTCCTTAAGGGACAGAACTATTTTCTTTCAACTTTATGTCTCTAGAGTCTGGCAGAGTCCCCAGCACGGAAAAGCTTAATAGATTTTTCTTTTTTAGTAAATGAAGATCTCCACATACAGAGACTGGGAGTTCAGAAAAGCATAGTCTAAACAGAGGAAGTCAGTGTGAAAGTACTGAGCAACCCCTCTATCCCAGCACAGACTCAGAAGCTGTGCAGAGAGGTGACCTGTGCTGCCAGCCAATCAATTATTTATTCATTGAGGTTTTCTTACAGCCCTGTACCTTTCTGAATACAGGAAAGCCCTTTAGTAAAGAAGTCTAGGTTCTGGCCTCATTCTGCTGCTTTTTGCTGAATAACTGCTGTCTGGGGCCTCAGTTTCCTCACTATTTGTAAAATGAGGGAGATGTAATAAATAATGATAATTAACTAAATTGTTACTTTTGCAGCATATAAAGGACACTTAGTATGTGCCATGCTCTATATATTATCTTGTATGATTTTAAGACTTTATTAAGTTGGTAGGTGTAACTGTTATCTTCCTATTCAAAGATAGGAAGCAGGCTTAGGGAGATAACTTGCCATAGACTACACAACTAGTCTAATTAATTGAGCTAGGATTCAGACCAGGTCGTCTCATGCTGAAATCCTCACTTTGTTCTGCTCTGTTAAACTAACTAGATTCTAAAGGCCTTTCTAGCTTGTAAAGATGGCCTAGGATTCCTCTGGACTTCAGCCTTGGTTGCATTCTTTCTAAGAGTGGAATAATGTCTCCTTATATGGTACTTCTAGGAACTAACAAAAGCCACAGAATATTTACAGGTTAGTTCATAACATCTTGGAGCCAGAAGGGACTTAGGATATTATCTAGGTAAAATAATAGCATAAAGGACTTGGCAAACTAAATGTACAAAACTGAAAAACTGCAAGCAAACTTTAATTTTTTTATGGTTCAGATTAATCTGGTTTTATTTTTAAACACATCATTGCATAAGATTTTATTAGTCAAGTTTATTATTATAATAGTCTTGCGCCAGGGTGGAAATAGCTTCGATATTTGACAAATATAAGAAATATGATTTTCCGAACTGATTCCACATGGGATGAATTTTTAGTCGAACTGGCTGCCTGGCCTCTGATAATAAAGTACAGATATACTATATCTGTGGTTTCTATATTTTATTATCTAGTTTGGTTATTCATAAAGCATTAATGAGCCTATGTTGTGTGCCAAGTTCATGCGATGCTGAGGAGTGCCTTAGGAATTCAGAGGCAGCAGGTCATAATCCCTGCCTTTAAAGGACTCACAAGTGTGAGCAAATATGCAAAGAGGTAAATAACAATATAATAGGTTAGGTATTATTACAATGATATTTATAGTATGGGACCCTTGAAGAAGGCACTACAAGGGAGAGAGAATTGATAAGTAGAAGTAGTTCAGGGAGAGAAGGGGATAGTAAAGAAGCATTTTTAGGCAGATAAAGACAGTAGAGTGTGAAAGATCATGAAATGTTCAAAGAAAAATGAGAAATCAGGATGGCAAATGTACGGGGGGCAGGAGAAGGGAAACGAGGCTAGATATGTGGACTAGACTGAGGATGCCAACATGGATTTTATCGGAGCCAATGAGGAGCCGTAGGAAGTGTACAAATAGGGTAATGAGTTGATTGTATTAATATTTTAAGAAAGATAGACGTCAGCAGGGTGAAGGATGAGTAGAAATGGAGAGAGAGAGATGAATTAGACTTTCAGTACCAAATGAGAAATTATTAAGAATTATTCTAAATTGATGACAGTAAAGATGAAACCAGATATGAGAGACATTTTGGTAGGACTTTTCTTGACCACTCGCATATGGGTGGTGAAAGAAAAGTATGTGTTAAGGGCGACATTGATATTTCTACCTTAGGAGGCAGGTAGACAGATGGTGATGCCAGTGACCATGTTCAGTGATGAATAAGTGGGTACTAAATAAGCATTTAGCCAATGAAATAATTAATATTGTAGTGTGGAAAACATTCCCAGAAGGAGTAAAGAGGCCCTAGCTCTGTCACTAACTTGCTAAATAATCTTAGGCAAGTAACTTAACCTTTCTGAGCCTCAGTTCCTTCATCTTTAATAGAAGTTCTCAAAGGGAGGTCCAGGGCCCTCTAGGAGGTCTCTGGAACCCTTGAGGGATCCACAAGGCCAAAACTAGTTTCATGGTGATAATGAGATTTTATTTGCATTTTTCATGCTCCTTCTCATGAGTGTACCATGTTTTCAAGAGGCTGTATGGCATGTGATACTGTACAAGATTGAGTATAGAGATAGATACGAGATCCTTTTGTCTTCTATTAAGTCAGACATTTGCAAAAATGTAAAACAATGCCTCTCTTCTTGCTACATTTTTCGTTGGTTTAGAAAATAGTCACTTTTTATTAAAATATTTATGTTAAATTGTAATGGGTTCATTATTTAATACCTTAAATATTAATAGCTATAATCCACATAAAGACAAGCTCTTTTCCTCACTGATTTTTTAAAATATAAAAGGGTCCTAAGTGCAAAAGGCATGAAAACCACTGATCAGTAAAATAGGAATAATGTCAGCTCTTTGTACTTTACCTTGGTTGTTATAGGGTCAGGTAAGACTCTACAATCATTTTTAAAGGCATTAGATGCTCTACAAATATTAGATTTATCATTGTCAATGTCATTAATTGTGGTGACTTTTTTTTAAAGATGGAACAGATTAAGCGTGCAAACCGCCTTTATACTAATGACTCCATCTTCCTGAAGAAAACCCTCTACATCCCCATCCTGACAGAGCCCAGAGACCTGTTCAATGGTTTGGATTCTGAGGAAGAGAAAGATAGAGACGAAGAGATACAGCCAAGTAAGGACGAAGTTGGGCCACACTCAGCAGAGAGGAAGAAACGAGAGACAGGTCCAGGACGTGCCAATGGTGAAGTCCTTCCCACACCTGGTCGGGAACCCCCGGCTCCCATCCATGATCTCTCTGCCTCTGACTTCCTTAAGAAGCTTGATTCACAGATCAGCCTGTCAAAGAAGGCTGCTGCCCAGAAGCTGAAAAAGGGGGAAAGTGGGTGAGTCTTAATGGTTCTTTTTAAACACCTTTGTAGGTTTCTCCATTCTTCCAGCCCTACCTGGTCTGATACACAAGGAAGTAAGCACAGTGTCAGCAGAAGCAGTGTGAACCCTTCCCTCCAGCCGGCTCCAGAACAGTGAGCAAAGCCAGTGGCTGACTGATGGAGTGGGTAGAGGCAGTGGGGATGGTGCTGTGTTCTCACTGGAGTTAAATAGTTGCCTGTGCGTACTGCTCTCACGAAAGAGCCTAGCATTTCTCCAGAGGGCATTGAAACTCCCTCTTAGACCAACCAGCTCAGATATACGAGGAAAGGAGGCCAGGGTCCCACGTGCTTTTTCACTGGGCCCATTCTCAGGTTCTTCCCCTGACTTGCCACTCTTTGTCCCCTTTCTTCACTTGCAGGATACCTGGGGAGGGAACAGGTCTTCACCGGAGCTCCCCTGGGATACAGCAACGCGCAGTCCTAGGTCCTGTGCCGCTGACCCAGACCTCTCGAACCCAGACGCTTCGGGACCAGGAGGATGAAATCTTCAAACTCTGATGTCCCCAGAACTGATTGAGAGAAGCAAGATGATGAAGGAGCAACTTGAGGGGGAGAGGAGCCTGAGGTGAGGCTCAAGAACATGGCTTCCCAGCCCACCTCCCTCACTCTGGCTCAGCCTCATTGTCCATCAAGTGGTCCTTGGCCTGGAGCAGTTTCTGTTGGCAAGAGTAGGGTTGGGGAATAGACTCCTTCTCCGTTCTCGGGCTGAATCTAGAGTTGTCCTTTAGATTCAAAGGCTCTTTTTACGTCCCTGCTGCCTTTCCCATGCCTTTCACTATTCCTTGGCCTTAGAGCAGGGAGGCAGGGACAACCCCCAGCCCCCAACTTCCTCCCCATCTCCAACTATGCTGCCTAATTTATTTGGTGCTATATGGAAGTAATATTTATTTGCTATATTTTATTCTTTCCCACTCTTAGCTGAAAAATGGGATTTTGTAGCCCTGGTGTGAGGGAAACCTAGGAACAGTGAGCCAGTGGCTGCCAGCTGCCCACCTTCTTAGCCAAGCATGTTACTGAGGATGAGCCAAGCAGTGGGTGATCCAGCCTGCTGCAGAAATGGTAGACTGCGTCAGGCCTGTTCGTCAGTCTCAAAGTAGAAAATTTGAGTTCAGTCTTCACTAACTAGTTCACTATAATTTTTTACCTTTGTCCCCTTGGGGGGACAAAGTGGCTCAGAATTTTACTCTGAGAAAAAAAAACAGTGACGTAGATCCCAGAACTCCCCAGTTCACCCTTCTGCCCTGCCCCTCTGTTCAGCCTTTGTGAGGCTAAGGAATGGAAGAATTGCCTTGAGGTTCAAAGAGGGGGACAGTTGTGGGAGTCTTTTTGTTCTGCCGCCTCCCCACCAGAGCCTGTGGGTCTTGCCTTGCTTCTCACTGTGTATTTATTTGCAATTTGTAGCACTGATCTATGGTACTGTGCTTTTGAGTTTCTCAAACAGAAGTAGGCAACAGAACCCCAATAATACTGGAAATATGCCTGAGTCTCCTGTGTGGAAATGATGAGTGGTGAGATAAGTGGTGTTTATATACCTCTGTGACGATCGTAAGATATAAGAAGCTGGAGAGATTAAACACTGAGCCCTGTGCATGTTTTAGTAGTTTTATTTCCCCTGCCGCCACCCCCTCTTCCTGTTCTCTGGATCAGAGCTCTGCTGTCTGTCCTGGCTCTGCCTTGAGCTGGAGGTCTAGGATGTCTCAAAGGGTCCCTTCCCCCGCCTGTCTTTAGTGTCCCCAGAGGAGTTAAATGGGCTCTGCCCTCTTCCCCTGGTTCATAGGAGAGGGGCTTCCCTGTTTCGGACATCCCTTACGGGAGGAATAAGCGATCCAAGTTTCACTTCATCTTTCTTTGTTTCCTGCCCTGGGGTTGGGGTAGGAGAGAAGCCTAAACCCTCAGCATTGCTTCTTCTCCACCAGCCATTTAGGGTAAGGTGGTCTCAGAGTCAAAAGCACTCTTGGGGGTGACTGAAGCCTGAAGAGTGAAAAGTGTTAGTGCAGATGAGCAGAGTTAGAGAGCCCATTATGTGTTGTTTTCTCAGCCAACCGTGTCGTCAAAGTGGATGTGCTGGGGTCAGGGCTCTCAGAGCTTCCCTTCATCCAGCAGCTTCCTGAGCCCATCACAGATCTTGCCAAGGTGCTGAGTGAAGGCAGGCCCATAGAGGGCCGTGAGCAGGCCCTGGTCAGAGAAGTGATCGAACACGTGGCGGACGCGGTTGTGTGACTTGGGTGTGAGGTGGCGCTGTACCAGCTCCAGCAGCATGTCCCGGCACTCGGTCAGCAGGCCAGCCAGCACGGCCGCCTCGAAGGTGAAGTCCACTTCTCCAAAGCTGAGTGCTGTCATGGCGCCCTGCCGCAGCTTTTGGCGAAAGCGATCAGCCAGGTCCAACTCACTCGGGCCAAAACTTCCATTGCGGTGCAGGACGGCCACCTTGACAGCCACTTTGATGAGGTCCTTGATAACCCGCTGGGCCTGGGGCCGGCTGTGTGTGTACTCTTTAGACACCCGGTAGAGCTCGTCTAGCACCTCACTGCTCGTCTCGTCGATGAAGAGATGAGCCACAGACCGGCCTGCCATCTTACTCAGGAGCTTCTTCTCCGCTTGCAGTGCCAGACTCTTTGAGCTGAAGGACTCCATGGCTCCTGGAGGAGAGGGTGGGGGTGGGGATTTGTGGTCAATCATAGAAAAAAGGCCACAGGCTTCCTAGGAAAGAGAGAAATGGCTTTTCCCCTTTTCTGTCTCTTTGGTTTCTATCTCATCATCATCTTGGTTTGCCCTGTTTTCCCCCCTGGGCCCCTCAGTCCTCTGCCTTGTTCCTTTTTTTTTTCCTTCTCTTTAGTACTGTAACAAGTCTTGATCTCTAAAGCAACCCAGAGGAGCAGTAATAGCTTTGGCTGGAGGAATGAGGGCACAGAGGAGGCTAGTCACCACACATTAAGTTTCAAGGGGAGGTAGGCTGTTTGTGCTGTAGTAGAAAAGATAAGGCTCACCTGGCAAATAATTCTCCCAGCTACCATTTTTGGACACTGACCATGGGCCACACATCTGTGAAGTGTATGTATTACTGTCTCTTTATAGCTGAGCAAACTGAGGCTGACGTTAAATCATTTACCCAAAGTCAAACACGACTATTTCTCTGACTCCATGCCAGCTAGTGTAATGTACCGCCTTTAAGTAAATGAGAAGTAGGGGGGGGGGTCCCAGAAGTCTTGATAAAAATACTATTTATTGAGAAGCTACTATGTGCCAAATGCTTTACGTGAATTATCTCAGTTTTCCCAACCCTTCGTAAGGTAGGTATCCCCATTTCGCAGCGAGAAAACTGAAGCTAAGTAAAATTGAGCAACTTGGCCAAAGTCATTAGCAAATGATAAGAATGGGATTCAAAACAAATAATTCAAAGAAACTTCGTTCCCTGGAATGCTGTCTCTGCTGTGGAATGAATCACACTGAGGAAGCTTGAGGCGCAAGCACCTCAGTGGGGGAAAGGCAGTACAAGAGGTTGACAGTCTTCTCCCAGGGCTGAACTGGGGACCCTCCTGGTGGCCCATCAGCTGCATATGTCCAGGGTTCTCTCCCCATGGTCTTTGCCTATGGTTTTTCTGGTTGTTTTGCTTCTTACTTCCCCCTCCCCTCCTCTGCAGGATGTGGCTGTGACCGCAGTGAGGAGCAGCCTCACCCTCTCCCCCAAACCGAAATGGGAGTCTGAAGAGTCGGGCGAGATGGCTACCTGGGGGTTTTCTTCCCCAGCTGACCCAGTGCAGTGGGAACCTAGAACCTTGCTGTGTTCCTGGCTTTGTCTGGGGCTTTCTGAACCAGGTTCCACAACCAGGAAAGGAGATTGCTCCATCTGAGCCTTCCTCCATCTGAGCCTTCCTTCCTCCTTGGCCTTCCTGTTACCCAGCTCTGCATTGTGCCCGGTGCCATCTCACGTTTGGCCCGCTGTGCTCTCCCTCTCTCCCTGTGTCAGTGTCCCTTTTTCTCTCGTCCGGTCCTGCCCTGTGATCCTCCAGCCGTACTCTCCCTCTGGCCCTTACATTTACCCCCATGCCTCCTAAGATTTCCTGGCATCTCTCAGTACTCTGTCACACACCCACCTCCACCCCCATGCCTCAGCGCTGCCCCCGCCCCATCCAGACCTGTGTCTGGGTTCTGGAGGCTGCCATGCCCCAGGGAAAGCTGAGTTGGACCTCTCCACTGGGGACCCAAGAATGCTATCAAGTTGGAGGAATCTCACTGTATGGATAGATCAGGCTGACAGAGCCAGGACCCTTCTGCTGCCGTCACCCCTAAAGCCTACCCCTCTGCCATTGCTGGTCCCTCACCTGCCGCACACTGGGTGCCAGTCTTGCCTTGGATGTTCCGGAAGAGTTGACAGAATGGAGAAGAAGCTCCTAAGTGAGAGGCCCTTTGGCCTGGCCCCACCCCTCAAGCCCCGCCTACCTACTCTGATCAACCTCCGGTTCTGCGTACCGTCAGTCACCAAGGTCTATATGACAGTTCGAACGGAATAGCACTCTGTAGGAAATAGTCTTGATTCTTTGAGGTGAGCTAGAAGTTCATATATGCCCTGTTCTCAAACTGTCTACCTGCTTCTTTTCTTGCTGCCCAATTCCTTGATATCTTTTTATATTTCTGTTACTGGAAAGGCTAAGTACAGATTGCTGCGCTGGGGGTCAGTGGGGAAAGGGCCGAAGACTGAACTGAACTTAGGCTGAAGATGCCAGAGGCGAGCCAGAGACTAACAGTGCTGAGTGTGCTCCTGGAGTCCCCAGGAGAGGGTGGTGCTGTGGGGCAGTGTCCATGAGCATATGCTTCCATTGCCTGCCTGGGTTAGGGTGGCACACTGTCCTTAACACTGGAGACACCAAGGTGCTGGGACCCGGGCTGCCAAGCCAGATGTGACCAGCAGGTGTCAGCACAGCATTGAACCACTGGAGGAAACAAGCCTACTTAAAGTACTTTGTAGCTGCTAAAGAGATTAAAAATGAAGGTAAGTCAGAGTTCCTGAATGAGGCAAAATTATTTCCATCAAGAATCTTCCAACCTGGTCAGGGACATTGGCATAGATAACTACCATGCAAGTCAAATGGTGTCATCAGCTTTAATAAAAAGTCTAAAGAATTATGAAAGTAAAGAGAAATTTATATATATATATATCTTATAATTATGCTTCTTTTTTTTTTTAAGATTTTGTTTTCTTATTTTCAGAGAGGGAGGAAGGGAGGAAGAAATAGAGGGAGTGAAACATCAATGTGTGGTTGGCTCTCACATGCCCCCCACTGGGGACCTGGCCTACAACCCAGGTATGTGCCCTGACTGGGAATCAAACTGGAGAACCTTTGGTTTGCAGGCAGGTACTCAATCCAGTAAGCCACACCAGCCATGGCTGGTTTGGTTTCTTTTTTTAATCTGTGTGTGTGTGTGTGTGTGTGTGTGTGTGTGTGTGTGTGTGAGAAAAGGAAAGGGATTATTTATTAAAAACATTATACAGACTTAGAGTAATAGCTTAATGTCTTCATTAAAAATACTAAAGTTCTTTAGAATACCCCACACACACACACACACACAGAGTTCTTCCTTCTCCCCTTCGCCCAGTCCAGGGTACCGTATCTCAGGAAAAGAAGTGGAAGTTCCTGGTCCAGGCAGCCCCTCGGTTCTGGCACCATCAGCTGTGTCACTGCCACAATCTCCAGTTAATCCAAAAGCATGTGGCACCTTCTCATGGCCCGCCAGCAAGAATCCTTTCACCCCTTTTCTTCCAGGCAAAGTCTTTCCTGCTTCCTAAGCCACATGGCAAAAGGGAGCAGCCTAAAGCTGCACGGTCCCAACTTTCGCCAAAGCATGTGATCCCAAAAAGCCCTTCTTTCTTATCTTAACCCAAGGACATTTTTTTCATTGCTTTAGAGAGAGAGGAAGGGAGGGAGAGAGAAGTACTGATGTGAGAGAAACATCTGTTGGTTGCCTTCTCATACACGCCCGACCAGGGGATTGAACCCACAACCTGGGCATTTGCTCTGACCGGAAATTGAACTTTCGCCTATGGGACATCTCTCCAACCAACTCAGCCTCACTGGCCAGGGCTAGAATATTTTTGTTAGGACTAAAAAGCAGCCTGAGAAGGATGGATTTAACTATTTAATTGATGTGAGAAAGAAGTGCTTCCCAGATGATGGGGATAAGCAAAAGCCATACCATACATCAGGTAAAGATGACCCAGGGCATACTCAGGAAGTGGTGATTTATTCTGTATGTCTGAAGCATAGGTTGTTTGAGAGAGAAGGGAAGAAAGGAAAAGATCAGATTATGAAAGGCATTAAAAGACTCTTAAGACTTCAGACTTTTCCCATAGGCATTACAGGTTTTTGATAATGAAAGCCAAGTCCGTCCTTCACCTCAGTGGTCAAGCAGGGGTGTCCAACCTTTTGGTGTCTCTGGGCCACACTGGAAGAAGAAAAGTTGTCTTGAGCCACACATTAAATACACACACACTAACAAAAAGTGATGAGCAAAAAAAGGTTTTAAGTAAGTTTACTATTTTGTGCTGGGCCGTATTCATAGCCATCCTGGGCTGCATGCAGGTTGGACGTCCCTGGTAGAGGCTTCAATAAACTTTTAGCTGAGAAAGGGGCATGCTTCAAAAGAAGTGATCAGCGGTATAGCTTGCTTAAGCACAGGATGAGTACTAACGAGGGACCTTGGTGATTTTATAAGAAAGAAATTCTAACAGAATGGGAAGGGTTGGAAGTTAGCTGGTCGTGAAAAGCGGGAGAGTAAATGGAAGCACAGACGTCGAGGCAGTCAGCACACCCCTGACTCCAAAACCACTAGTCTTCCTCCTCGGAGACGGGTTGGGTCTTGACTTCTTTTTCACCCCGGCTTCTCTGAACCCAGGGTCCAGAGCTGAGGGTCCATGATACAATATGGAAGGAAGTGTTAACTCCTTCAAGAAGTATGGTGGAAAAGGGATGAAGAGGAATGGAAAGGTGGCTTAGGGGGGTGGGGAGCTGAACTGAGAGGGGTACTATTTTTAGCTGAGAGTTTGAGGACATCTGTAGGCTAAGAGAAACAAGCAAGTGGAGCGGGAAGCTTAGAAAAGGCAAAGGAGAGGGAGTGTTTATGGAGCGTGGTGTGGGGGCAGATGGGAGAGAATGGGCTACAGAGTCAGGGAGGGGAAGTGATAGGAGAGAACAGGAGCTAGCGTTTATTGATTACACTTTGCTAGATGTTGTGTAAATATCTCATTTAACTGTCTGATGTCTCTATGAATTAAATGTTGAGATACCGTTTTTGCTAATGAAAAAGTCCAAGGCTTAAAGAGGTTAAGTAACCTGTCTCCAAATGAGAGAGCTAGTAACTGGCACACGGGACCTTGTGTGATTCTCAAGCTTATGCTTTTTCTAATAATTACTTCGTCAGGTTATGAGGTAATAACTTCAACCTCATAATGAATGTGGCAGCGTTCTACTCCAGTTGCTCTATCAATTCACTAACCATACCACACTCTGGGGACAAGAGTAGGTGGCACTACTTAAATCACAGGAAGTGTAAAAGTCCTTTTTAGTTAAAAGTAATGTACTGTCTTACTGGAAAATAAGAAGGAGGGGAGTAAGAATACAAGAAGGTGCAAATACACTAATAACTTCTGAATGCAGAATTCTGCTACCAACTGCTTACCTATTTACCCCTCCAGCTTCACTCCTTGTATGTCTCTTATACTCTATTCCACCTAAATTATAATTCTCAGCTCCTGTACTACTCAGTATGGTCAGTTTCTCTCTCTGCCTCTTCTATGACCTCTTCCTGTGCTCTAGACTTTTCCATTCCCTGTCTCCTGCCTAGTACTGTCTTCCTACACGTGCCCTCCCTGCCTGGTTAATTTCTACTCATCCTTCAGGATTCAGCTGGAAAGTCCTAACTTCTGTGAAGCCATCGTAACTCCCTAAACTACATTAGACACATCTGTTATGTAGTCCTAGAGAACTGTATACCTTTCCTATTATAAGAATCACTCTTCACTTTAATTTGTGACTTTATTACCTGCCTCCCCACGAGACTGTAACTTTTGTGAGGGCAGGGACTATGCTTTAGTTCCTACACAGTGTCTGGCACTGCTGCTCAAATATTTGCTAAAAGAATAAAATTGAAAACACATTAAGAAACCAGATATAACAGTCACGTGGAATAATGTTCATTTACTTCACCCTGGGGAAGACTTTTATTTTCTTTTCATCTATGCCCATTTCTAGTAATTGTCTCCAAACCCACAGCGTAGAATTAGCAGAAAATTAAAAGAGTGAAGAAGAGCTTTGAGAAGCAACACTGATAACAATGAACATTAACACAGCAAGAAAAGACTAGGAAAACAGAAAAGCAGATGATTGAAAATTATGGCATCTTTGGCCACGCAGAGGAAGAGCAAACAGTATTAATATTAAGTACATATATTCTAGACTTTGGAGTCCTCACTGTTTTCCTAGACAATTTAAGTTCACAGTGTTTCTTCTGAACAAGCAAAAAACTGGTTAAATGATGGTATCTTAAATGTGTGAAACACTCTGGATTTACAAAACATTTCACCTACATTAACTTATTTGATTCCATGAGGTAGGGAGTCAGGTAAAGTGTCCACTCACAGATGACAGACTCAGCTTTAGAGATTAGTTTATCCAAAGCCATGCTCCAGAGGTTAATCTATGTCTGAACGACTTCTAATCACGCTCTTTCTACTATATAACCCACAGGAAATGAATATATTTAAAATAATCCCTAATTTGAAACAGTTAAAATGAAAGTGTTCTGCACTTAATTGGATAAACTTCGGTTATCTGGGAATGTGCAGAATGGAACATTCCTCTGTGCATAGCTGAAGTTTCACCATGGTTAGGGTCAGTACTCCTATCAGTTCAGGAAGAGAAAGTTCACTGTGATTTGAAACAGTATGGCATGACCTCAGCCTGACACGGGGGGCGGGTAATTCACATCTTCGATGTGTTTATTTCTTCCTCTATTTACTATTTGTCAGGCATTATATATAAACATTGGGGATACAAAGATAAGACACAAGCTTCCTGTCTTTACATTAAGTGGTACACAACTATAAAAATCCAAGTGCCCTGGCTGGTGTGGCTCAGTGGATTGAGCACCGGCCTGGGAACCAACTGGTTCAATTCCCGGTTGGGACACATGCCTGAGTTGCGGGCCAGGTCCCCGCTGGGGGTACCTGAGAGGCCACCACACATTGATGTTTCTCTCCCTTTCTTCCTCCCTTCCCCTCTCTAAAAATAAATAAAATCTTCTAAAAAGTCCAAATGGAAGTATTCAATAAGCAATTGTATATGTGAGTTTAATGCTTAGGAGAAAGACCCAGCTCAAATAGCTAGATTTTATGGTAAACAGCACACAAG